GATCATCTTCTCCAGAGTACTCCGGAACCTGAATCTTGTCCTGTCCACCGCCTCCATGGCGACGGTCATCCCCCATCCATGGATCTCCACCACCTGCGGTCCACCAAGGGTCATCTTGACAAACCTGTGGAGCTGTTGGTGCGAAGATGATGGTCCTTGCCCATTCCCCTGAGTTGAACCATTTCCTCCGGTGAGTCCAGAACCCCAAGCGCAGAAGCTGTTCCATTGCCTCCACTCTTCATCTGACCAGCCCCTTCGCCCCCACGACTGTTCAGAGGTTCTTTGCGATGTGACTTCATCTTCTCGATCTTCACCTTGTTCTTCTCCATCATCAGCGCCCTCAACAGCGCTGGGCGAAGGCATCGCGACCGCGAAGCCCACCTTGTAGTTCCCCAGAGCCACCCTCGAAGGTCCCAACCAACCAACCGCACCCACCGGGTACGGTAACGGCTCAACGCTACCAATGTAAACTCGAAAGGTCGCGGCCTATTTTCACACTCAAAGAACCCTTGTGCCTATATGGCGTCGTGAGCAACAGCAGCAGGGTCAACTGGGAGTGGTTTATTCACAGTTACTAGTAGCGATGCACCTGTTCCAAGCAGCTTCTAGTCACTATTATAATGGAAGTGTGGCATAACTCTGAAGTCAAAGTCAAATGCGAAAGGTGCTTTCCACACTCACCTCAAGGTTCTCTCCAAGAGCAGCCCTGCCGAACCATTTGGCGAGCTCGTGTTGGGTCTTGTGCAGCCGCAAGTTGCCTAAGATCGACAAGGTGTTTGGGTCCGCGTCACATTCCAGGAAACAAGGTATATAAATATAGCCAAGCCATATATCTCAAAGGTTGCTTTATCTTGTGGATTGTGGACATAAATTAGAATTTAGTTAAAATCAATAAGCTACTAGGAACAAGTGCATCGCTACTAGTAACAAGTGCCTTACTAGTAGTAACAAGAAGCTAGTAGTAACAAGAATTAGTATATTGTTTCTACTAGCGAACATTGTTCCTAGTAGTAAGGCACTTGTTACTAGTAGCGAGGCACTTGTTACTTGTTACTCGTAGCGTTCTTGTTGAACTGTGTGCCCAGGGACGGATGGCATTCACGATAAACACCCTCGCCATTAAATTGAACCAAGCTAATCGATCGTGCCAGTCTGAAGGCTGTGCGTCTTTGGCAGCTTGAAAGGTATTGAAGGCTCGAGGATACACATGAAACCTCGCACAATCACGGTCAGAATCTCTGCTTTCCCGCAGTTTCCTGCCATGTGTGTCACTATGTTCTACCATTGTATCATGACATTTGTTTTGAATCACAAGGGTGCTACAGAATTAGTGTGACCAAACTTTGCTCACTGGCAACAGCCATGGCACATGTACAAAATACGAAGAGCCAGCTCTGAGGTGTACGTTTGCACCTGGCAGACCGAAACACAAAAGCACAAGCAAAAAACACAAATGACCAGAAAGCATTCGCGTCTCCTAAGCGTTAGGGCTGTCCATCAGGGCCTTGAGGCTCACATTTTTGAAACATTTCGTAGTTACTCCGGTCGTTCCAATCCTTAACTGTTTGGCTGTGTGCTCCTAGTCGCTTCTTGTTCCTAGTAGTAAGGCCAGCCCCTAGTAGCGCCCTTGCTCCTTGTTCCTACTCTTTTCTTGCCTCGGTCTGAAAGTTGTATTGGAAGGGGTTCTGCCACCGGACGGGCCGATGCTTCGTCAGCCGCTTCCGCTCAACACCACCGTTGTCGCCCATCTCATCCTGGCTGAGTTGCAACACTGTGAACAGAATCTCTTTGCAAAGAAAAAACCGAGCGCAAACTACGAGACAAACCATTGTGTTTGGTAAGCTTTACCAAACAATGCTCACTCTTGGGGCAGACTTGTCCACACCATTTCAGAGCTGTCTAACGTAAAGAACAGAGATACTAAAAAGGTATAGAGAGCGCCTTGTCAAAGATGCCCTTACTTTCTTTTGTTTTAAACTTATCTCGTTTCTTTAGCTTTGAAAACATGAACTCAGTTAAGCCTTTCACCGATCCTCCTCGTCGAGATTGAAGCGACCTCTGATGGTCTCAGCAGAAAGGTCCACATCGCATACGTCTTCACCTAGGAGCAAGGACGCTACTCGGGGCTGCTAGCATCGCTACTAGGGGAAACGAATCGGCACCGCTTTCTTCGGCCCAACTTCCCCTTCCCTGATTGAGTCGGCGCCTACTTAATTAAGCAAGCCCGAAATTCAAGAAAAGAAACACTACCAAAGATGTTGCTTCTATTCGGACAGACTTGGCATTTCCAGCTGAAGAGTTGATCTGATGACATCGCCTATTCATGGTATTTCATGGTGCATCTTTCTTGTACATGCACCTCCGGGACATAGCCCTTTTCTTGCTTTTAAGCCCGCCCTTACAAACACTTCTGTGCCTGTACCCCCACCTTGGACATTTTGGTAGCACCCAACATCAGGCGCCGGGGGCAACTTTACCCCTCGCTGCTGCAGCAGCCGCGCAGATGCTTCGCACAGTGCCTGAGCTCAAGGTTGGGCAGTGCAATGGGAACTCTCTTAAACTACTCTCCAAAATGTCTTTCCAACAATCTTCAGTTTGCCAAAGCACAGGCATGACCAAATCACAAAGATTTGTTCCAAACATTGCTTTTTGCCGATTTACAGAAAACACCAGTTGAAATCTATTCTTTTGTTTTGCAGGGGTACCCGATTGGCCAATTGTCGGGGTTTTGGCTAGTAGGTCTCGCCACAAACCGAACGAGCATACCATGCCTCACATGGCAGTGACGGAGTGAGTTGTAAGCCAGTCTCAGAGGAGAAGGCCTTAGCATCGAATCTTCAGTGCCAAAGCCAGCAAAGCTGGTCATTCAAAGACAGTTTTGCTACTTGCGACCTTTCATGTGTTTATTTAAGTGAATTTTTGACTGAACACGTGCGAAAACAAACAAACTAGTTGTGTTGGGCCAACTGACAGCTTGCCTCTTCAGTGTTCATTCAATGCATGTGGGAAGGTGAACCATACCAGTCTCTCTCTTGGACTGCTTGGTGCCTCAAATGCTTTCGATCTACGAAGCCACACTCCTTTCGGCTTTTTCATTCTGCAGAACCTTGATTCCTCCATACAAGCCAAACACAAAGGCCTTCTCTTCTCGGCTTAAATTCTGCGCCTGCAGCGTGCTGTTCGCCACAGCAAGCAACGTCCTCAATTGTGACAGCTGTAGCTTCCCTGCGCCATCGTCGCCCGAGCGACAGATGCTGGCAGCGCGAGAGCAAAGCAGTGTCAGGTCCTGGCGACCCAAAGCGCAGAAGAACAGCGCACTCGGCTCGCTGTAGAATTCCCAGCGAACCGCAGCCAAAGAGTTTCTAAACCGTTGAAGGGGGTCGCCTGGTGGTTTTGCTTGAGAGGTGGGAGTAGAAGCAAAGATCAGCCACCAAGGAGTTGGGCACCAGCACAAAAACTTTTGTATGCATGGTAATTTTCATGTCTATCGAAGACAGGAGTCCACTTGGAGCTTCACAACAATTTGAGAGATTATCTCCTTTTTTGGCAGATTAGAGAAGGATTCAGCGTGGCCGAGGGCTTGCCTGCGAAGATTGAGCCGCGCCAATCTAAGAGCCACTATGTTGCAACCGTGGAGCCCAGCTTGCAACCGGAACCTCTCTTCTTTGGGCGGTCGAAACACGGCAATTTGCGCCTCTCTGCGTCTCGCTGCTTCAGCCTTGCTTCCTCACACGTCTCTACCGGAAAGTTCATGGCTGGTGGCTCTGCCGCCTTTCTGGCTTTCTTTTGTTCAGCGTGCGCCTGTCTGCTCACTTGGGAAAGCATGGTCGGACCTTGCTCCTTTACGACAGCCGGAAATTGTCCATTGGCGTTTCAGAAAGGAATCTAGAAAAGGCTCCAAAAAGAGTGAACAGACGGTAAGGGCTAAGGTAGTAAGGTAGTAAGGTAGAAAGGTAGAAAGAAAGAAAGAAAGAAAGAAAGAAACACACAAGAAAGAAAAAACACACAAGAAACAAAGAAAGACACAAGAAACAACAAAAAAGTAAAAACAGGAAACAAAGACTCGAAGAGGTCTTTGTTGATGACCATTGCTTTTTAAAATACGTTTTCTATTTCTTTCTTTCTTCTTACCTTTAGACCTTTTCTTCCTTTTTGTCCTTGTCTGTATATATTTTTGCCTTACACAAGGTCCCCTGCTTTTACTTCCCAGTTTTTTCTGCGGTTTCCGGATGTCCAACCGGCCCTTATCTCTTGCATCTACGAACTTTCCCCTGCCTCAGCTTGCGCGCGCGCTCGTCGTTGCAGGGCATCCAGTGAACAGCTTTCCGCTGCTACTCCGCACTCGTCGTCCAGGAGCAGTTCTTCCGCACCCGACAGCAATGCAAACACCAAGCATAGCAAGCCGAAGAACATCGGCATCAAAAGGGACTGGTTTGATCAAAATGAGTCCTGGAGCTGCTTTAACGTTTTGAGACATGGGGGTTGGGTCAAAACGATACCTTTGTTGACCTACTTGGGAGGTCAAGCTACATGGCGGACGACGGCTCCAGGTTTTGATCAAAGGAATAGACATTAAAGTCATTAAAGCATGAGTCGTTATGATTTGCGCCAGTTAACCCAGTTCTCAAATTCTTTTCATATCAATGGCACAACCTTGTGAAAGCATCTAAATCCATGAGCCAACAGCTGCAGTCCTCTTCTCAGATGGACCCTACTTTTCCATGGGTTACTCTCAGCAGAACTGGAAGGCCTTCTTTGACGACCGGTGAAGCGACTCTGTTTTTATACAGGTCAACCCGATTTGATGGTGTCTTGACTGACCTGCTACTAGGGGCACACTCGTGAAATGACAAACACAATCATTTCGTCACGGTTTCATTATGGCGCAACCCTGGGTGCCGGGTCTTGAGGCTCAAACTCAACTACGCCGTGTACCCCTGGCTACCGGATACATACCGAAGGCCTTCTTTCGTTTCGCACGCAATCGGAGATATCAGCGCCTGATGCTTCACCAGCAAATGACAAACCTGGCTATGCAACAAACTCGAAGAAACGGTGATCGTTTTGAGGCATAGATCTCACGCGTCAACTAGACAGTTTGGCCCTCTGGGCCTCTGGGTAAGTCTGTATCAAGTATCAACCCTTCGAAGGCAACGATAAAATGTGTCAAATCGAGCAACCAAAATGTGCGCTTTCTGCTCGCAATATCCAGTTGTTCTGCCTTGCCATTTGTGTTTGCTTGGCTTTGCATTCCCCACACCATTGTGGTGCAGCAGTTCTTCCATCGACCAGTGTGAAAAACAAGCGAGAAACGGTTTCTGAAAACGGACCAACCATTTTTGGCAAACAGTTGCATACTACTTAGTTGCTGCTCTAACTGGCTGGTTCCACTCTCAAGAATTGAGACTCCCTTTCAACCGAAACTTGCAACAGGAAACTCTAACTAACAGTTTTCCGACATCGATTTCTTTACATTCCTCGCCAACTTGAAAGACACCAAAGACCTGAGGGATTGTCTGAGTCCACAAGTCTCCCACCAAGAAAATCTAGGAACTAGATGAGTAGTGGGGGGAAAGGTGAGCTATCCTGCGTCCTACCTAGGGGCGTCCTGTACTGGTAGCTAATAACTTGACTGAATAGGCGCCTACATAATTAAGTAGGGATTGGGGAGAGCGGACTAAAAAACAAGATGGGACCCACGAGCCCGAATGCAAGCACGTTCTCGAAAACAAGCCCCCAACATTTTTCGACACTGTGGGAAGCGCTCTTGTAGAGCACCGTTGTGGGACGCACTCCTGCAATACATTCGTCACTCTGTGGGACACTCTTTTGGGATGCTCTCGCGGAACACTCTTGTGGGAGACTCTTGTGGGACGCCCTTGTAGGACACAAGCGCCAATCCCAATGTGACTGCGCAGAAAACTGCCCATCTCACAAAACGCTGTGCCTGCGCAGTGAAAGTATCCTCCACACTTCATCCTCTCACGTTGTCACACGTTTCCTCGCTATTTCACACGAATCTGACACGTTATGCTTCCATCCAAAACCCTCTCCAACTTCGCCCAATGTCAGCGCCATAGCGCTCCACCTGCGAACGGTTGCGGTCGCTGCGACAACGACTCGCGAACAAGGCTCTACCCTTCACTATACGCATTCGGAAAAAAACGATACAAAGAAGAAAGAAACAGGTACAATTCTATTTAAATTCTTCTTGTTACTACTAGTAAGGCACTTGTTTCTAGTAGCGTGGCACCTGTTTCGTCCTTGACGAAGAGATGCGAAAGAACGAAATTCTGCTCTTCGCCTCGAGATGCCCAGCACTGGCGGCCCAGTGGAGGCCACTTCCGCCGAAGCGGTCCAGCGTGGTCACGTGGAATCTGAGAATGCGAACCGGAAAGGGGACGCGAATGGGAGAACGCGTCAATTTGCTCCAATGCTGAAAACAGTGAAGACATTGGCTCTCCAGTTTTGAAGCTTGAGCTATTGAGGCTTCAATCGTTTCGTGAACCTGCTTTCACTTCTCAAACCGAAACCAATTCCAGTGTCTTCCTGAGAGTGCCGGCGAGCCATCCAAGAGCAACTCTTTCAACTTGGCCACATCTCCAGCACGACAGGCCTCCAGGAACAAGAAGCTACTAGTAAGTCTTCAATCGGGCCCTGAAGATCGAGAAGATTTTGAACAAACTGATGCCCATTTCTCAGCAGTCGAAGGTCTCACATTTGGGAGAACAACCATTTGGCCTCTTTGTGCCTGTTTCCTTGAGATCCAATGCCCTTGTTACCAGCTTTGAGACATTCTTCACCTCCAATCCAGGCACCATCTTCGCCGTCTTCGTGCCGTCTGTCTCGCCCTTCGGCTGTCGACCTCGGAAGGTCTCGCCCTTTTGTACTTCGGTGCCGAGCAATCCTGTGAACCTACTCGCGATGGCCTCCAAGCCAATTCCCCCTTTTTACACTCCTTTCTTGCTTCTTCCCTTCTTGCCTCATTCGACACAGAATGACTTCGACCCATCCTGAGGCGGATGCTTTTCTTCAGCTCGGCATAAGATGCCTTTCCAGACGTCTTCCCGCTTTTCTTTGTACTTGTCCTCAAAGAACGTGATCCTTTTTCAGAAACTATTATAAATTATGTCTGTCTTAAGAAAGAAGGAAGGAAGGAAGGTCCAAAGGCCTAAAACCAGCACACTTTCCTGCTAGAAACGGGATTTTCTCTGAGGGGATTTCAAACTCAAGACTGCGCTACGAGGAAAAGACACGGCTTTCAAGAAACAACATGTGCGCTTTCTTGTCTCTTTTCCAGAGCATAAGGAATAGGCTTAACCAAGCAAGGCAACTTGAAAAATGTCCTAGGTCTTGGCCATCACAGAGAAATACATTCTGTGTGTATCCTTTGTGTGAAAAGTCTTCCTTTCTTAGAAGGGTTTAGTTAAGTTTTCCTAAATCATCTAGAAACCACATCATTAGTGCAGCTATCCTGCGTCCATGTCTAGACGCGTTCTACTTAGCTGCTCGTCGCTACTCCTCTTCGCCAAGCGGCCCACCCCCGCCAGGCGGCTTCTTCGGCATCTCTGCCAAGCGGCCTATCCATTCGACGTCAGCAGTGGCTGGGAAGTAAAGAATTCGACCTCTTCATTTAGCAACTTAGTAGCCCACCCTGTCGCTTACTATCTACTCTTCCAACATGCCCCCCAAAAGCATCGCAGCGACCCCTTCCTTACCTTTCAAGTAGCCGCAAAGACTTTGCAGTGTATTGTAGACCTGGGAGGACAGCGGAGGACAAAGGGGAGTTAAACCGACCTGTTCAGGGGCAACGGGTTCGAGAAACTCCCTGCGAACTCTATCCGACTAGATCCTGCGTTCTCTCTCACCTCCCCTTTTCTGTCTAAAGCAACTCAGTCAAACACTTCGTGCTTTTGTGCTCTGAGCCGCATAGAGGTCCTCCAGAGGCAGCTCAGCGTTTCGGAGGAGCTGGGCGGAAAGCAGCTCGGCCAAGGGGATGGCACCTGGGAGTCAGAGTCTGAAGACACTACTGGCTCCTGGCCTTACTGCTAGGAACAAGGACGCTACTAGTAACAAGTGCATCGCTTCTAGTAACAGGTGCCTTACTAGTAGTAACAAGAAGCTACTAGGGGCTCCTGGCATCGCTACTAGGAGCAAGGACGCTACTAGGAACAAAGGAACTTGGTCGTTTGGTCCAGGAGTCCTGAGTTTATAGCGTCCTTGCTCCTAGTAGCGATGCCCTTTGTTACTAGTAGCGTCCTTGTTACTAGTAGTAAGGTGAGGGCCCCCTAGTAGCTTCTTGCTCCCAGTAGCGATGACGGAGCCTCTAGTAGCGTCATTCCCAGTGGGGAATGGACTTACCTTCTTGTTGCTACTGTAAACGCCTGACTACTGACTACTGTAAGACTCTTCCTCGCAAAATTCAGTTTCCCTGACAATCAAGAAACCAAATCCTTAGTGCTAGCGCTTGATTGAAGAAGCGTGAGCTATCCTGTTTCCAGTGACTTGGAGCGTCCAAGGAGCTAGGAGCTTAGTCCGTTACTTGATTAAGTAGGTATCTACTTAATTAAGTAGGAAGGCGGGGCCTCGGGCTAAAAGAAGAAAAACTTGGTGGCAATTTGTTCGTGACAAGCGGGAGGTGGGAGGAGGCGGAGGAAGGAGCGGATCCAACACTAAACACAAAAACCCCACACGTCAATGTGGGGAACAATACGGTTCTCTTTCTGGTCCTAAACGAGAGACTTTCAGTGTCCGTTTTGCTGAGTGGCTCATGGAGTCGATTCCCAAGGCACCCAGTGGCTCAGTGTCCTGGAGAGGAAACCAATTTTGCGCTACTCAGGTGACACATCGACTCACTAGCTGACTCAAACAGTGTTCCTAGTAGCTTCTTGTTCCTAGTAGTGAATGTTTCTTTTTGTCTTTTTAATTTTTCGGAACGTCTGAACTGTCTGAACCCGAGAGCACATCTTACGGAGCAGTCTTGGCGAGGCGATCCTGGTTTTGCCTTCGTTTTGTCTGGCCGTTGTGTCGCCTCAAGGACGACACCGGTCACCATGGCCAAGAGATCCGCCACAGCTTGCCGCAAGGCTGCCTCCTGAAGAAACCAGAAAAAAACAGACCCGATCCTTCAAGCACTTTCTGCTTCGTGCTGTGATGCGTCTTTTTCAGGATTTTCCATCCGAACCTCGTCGCCACAAACTCCTGCTTTTCACGTGCATCTTAAGCGTCCCGGCCTCCTCGTGACTGGGGCTTTGCCAATCAATCTCGTCCAAAGACTCGTGTATGGTTCCCTCGGCCGCTTCCGCCAGCGGTGGAGGCCGCGGGCCTCCGAAACAGAAGTGAAGCCAAGCCAAGTGAGAGAAGTGTTCCTTGTTGGAAGAAAACTCCTCACAACGAAACGGTTCTTGCTTGGGTACCAGAAGTTGGAGGCCATCGCCAGTAGATTGGAGGCCATCGCTATTAGTAACTCAAAAGAAAATTGTTTTCTGGTTATATTTCATGTGCATTTTGTTTGTTGTGGTTGCTCGGTGTGTCTTTCACGCACTCGTTGAAGCCAAGCCTTGCTGCAAGCTCCGTCGATCCACTTTGCCACTCGGCAGCAAAGGGAAAGACTCCTGGACAAAAGACGACATGCGACGACACGTCGAAAACAAACAGACTTGCGACAACTCGAAGGTCCTTTTCGGTCGTTTATTTTTATTCCTTTCGCTTCTCAAGACAATTAGACCATTCTGTCTGTCTTTCGTTGGATGATTCATGAGTGAAACAAATTTGTTTGTTCTGGCGATCAGCTTGACATCGAGGAGGTTTAGTGCTCGTTAGCTGCAAAACTTTGGACTCCGCCAATCCAATGACCAACACATGTGCAGAATAAGTCTAGCTTGAACACAAAAGCAATGATTTATGACCAAACACACCGAGCATTAGTGGCACACTTGCATGAATCTTGCACGCATGCAACTCTTGATGAAATCTACTCCTTAATTGTATTCATACTGTTCATGCTCTTGTATGGAACTTCTTATCTCTAAACTCGGTTGCTCGGCTCTCCATCACTGCCAGGCGCTGCGGCCGGGCGTAGCTCGGGAGCGCTTCCGCCACGTGCCGCCGAAGGGCGCCACGTAGTGCGCCCCGCTCCGTCGCTCGCGTAGCTTGGCTCTTCTTCGTTACAAAGGCACAAAGCTCCGGGCCTGGAGGGGCAGAATGGGACAGAGCTCGGGTCGCGGCATGCGTCCCTTACCATGTTTCGGCTTCGTTCTAAGCTGCGACAGGTGATCTCTATCAATCGATCGAAACTTCGAGCTCTTCGAGCTCTACTGATTCGGATTCTGAACTTGTCACCAGCTTGCTTCTTCCAAGTCACCTTCATCACAGTCCAGAAGCAATGCAACAGCTGCATCTACCTGCAAAGCAAAGCTTGGCTTATGACATCCTACCAGTCCCAACAGGCCTTCAACTCTCATCTCAATTTAACTGCTGGAAGGAACAACAAACTTGATCCTCATATGATGGGAAAACCTCCACCATGAAATCAACCAAGTTAATGGTTTCACGACCGCATCGGCAGCGTGGTCCCGGAATCGTTCTGAAGCTCTTGAAGCTCTGAAGCTCCGCGTCTTCGGTGGAGCTGTGAAGCTTCTGAAGCTCCTGAAGCTCTGAAGCTTTGAAGCTCCGCGTCTTCGTTTTTGAAGCTCCGCGTCTTCGGAGCTTCGCGTCTTCGGCGGAAAAATCGGGGACCGCACTGCCGACGCAATCCATTTCACAGCTTGCAAACTTTAAGACTCGTTGATCCTCCTGCAGTGGAAGTTCGGATTTTTAGGAAATCTACACCTCAGTAGTTCTGATTCTCTTCAGCCTACACAAGACTATGTGGCGCATTTCTGATGTGAAACGCCAGTGGCTATACCGCATCACGATAGCAAGGAAAACAAGAAACAAAAACAAAGAGACGAAGGTCTAAAAGTTTCGATATCAGGTTGGAGGCCGTCGCTAGTAGGTTGGAGGCCATTAGAAGGAGGTAGGTTCTTTTCGTTCAGACGACTGCTCCGGCCTCCGGATGCCTTTCGAGGACCGTCTCCACTTCGCCCAGCTCCAGGCGAAAGCCACGGATCTTCACCTCTATCACTGTCAATCTGCCGGTGTTAAATCGGAAAAACAGTGAACGAGAAGAAGAGAATATTCCCCTAGTAGCGCCCTTGCTCCTAGTAGCGATGCCCTTAGCTCCTAGTAGCGTCCTTGCTCCTAGAAGGAAGGTCTGATTTCAATATTTCCTTCTTAGAGGGTCCATAAGCTTTCTTTCGGAGAGAATCGTGGGTCGGGTGGAGTCGGAAAATGGAAGTTCTGGATCCGACCACTTAGAAACGTGTAGATGAGTCAAACGAGTAGTCGTTCAGAACACAGTCGCCATTCCCATCTCTTTGTCCTGAGGCCATTGCTAGGAGCAAGGACGCTACTAGGGGCAAAGGGCATCGCTACTAGGAGCAAGGACGCTACTAGCTTGGAGGCGATTGCGAGTAGGCTACTGATAAGGTCTTCTCGTCTTCTCAGGTGTCGCCTGGTGATCCATGCGCCCTAGACATTGCAAGACGTTCCCCGTCACGCGGACCAAGTCGCCACTCTGGAAAGCCCGAACAGCACCTCAAGGAAGGAAATTAGACTGAGGAGGGTCCAAAGAAGAAAAGGAAACACATAACTAAGATGAATTAATGTGTTTTTGAAGCTTTCAACTTGAACCCTTTCTAACAGCAAAACTTGGGATTACTTCCACGATGACAGGCCAGATTCACAGAAGAACTGGAATCTGAAAGCAATGACACTTTCTATGCTGCTTAGAAATTGTTGCTTGCATCATCTTGGCAACAAGAATGAGGTCCTCAAGTTTGTGGTGACTGAAGTGTTGCACCCCTGTCTTGTTTGGATAGAAGTTCACTGTTGGGAGCACATGTAGCAATGATTGGACACGTTTAAAACGAGCGGACACTTCAAGTTCGATGGACCCCACAGTCCTCACAGTGATTTTCTAGAGGTTCTGTTGATTAAAGTTGCGGTGGTCACGCGAAGCCACTCACAAACCTTTTCACAGCCCGAACAAAAATGTGTTGTAAAACTCTCCTCGAGCCGCTAGAGTTCGATCAACCCTTCCCACGAGCCGCCTGGTAGGGACACAAACTTTTCGGCTGTGAGGTCCTCAAGTGGCAATTGTGAGAGATGCTTGGAATCACTCAAACGGATATTAGAAACACATCATGTAATAGACCCTTCCACAAAACTTCTTTGCGCAAAGCCATGGCCTTCACGTTTGTGTAAAATCCAAGGGGCACCTCTTCCAAGGTCTTTTGACTTCAATTAGGACCTACGGGCTTGATTGATCTCTGCGGTTTGCCTAGGCTCTCCTTGAGTGGTCGTAAAGAATGCGTTCCGATCCTGCTGAACGGCCAAACCGAAGGCCTTTCAAGAGATGTGTCTCCTGCAACATCTACGACTCATTTTAAGTATATCAATGGTGCTTTTTTTGGTACGATGTGTTCTGCTGCATCCAGTGATGTGATGGAGAATCCCTGAGGCCACTGGCCGGACGACGGTGGTACCCATCAGCGACTCCCAAGCCAGCAATTAGCAGCTGACCTACGAGAAAAGAGTAACAAAGAGAATTAGCAGCTGACCTGCATATGGTTTATTGTCAGTCATCTGGCTGCGAGCAATTGAATTCAAACAACTTAATGAGCTTTGGGGCCTGCAGCCTCTGTTTCTCCCATGAGGAAAGCTGGAAGGTAGTCATGATAATCCTATACGAAGCAATGGCTCTTATAGCCAACCCAAAACTTGTTGCAAACTCAAACAATTCTGTACACATGCTGCACGACCTCCCTGGCTTTACATGGGAGGCGCCTTTGCCGCTCAACGCAGTGCGTGATGAATTCCACTGGGATGCGCCGGCTGGTGTAGAGCGAATCGGCAGTGTCTACATGCAATCCAAGAGCTTGTAAGCCACGTCTCTCTAGCTATCTCATCTAAACCTGTTCTTGGAATTTTTGAGATCTCTGGCTCATCCCAAATTGTGGAGCTTATTTATTTCCACTCTCAAACCATATCCAGGGACTGCATTGGCCCCGGACATGTCTTACTGGACCTTGACATCGCTGTGTGCCCCAGCAGCATTGGCAGCCTCTCTTCAGGTAGTGTGCCATCTCTGGAAGCCTGGAGGGTCTGGAGCACCTTAGAGAAGTCTTGTTTGAAGCACGCTTTTTGTCAAAGTTTCCAAGGTTTTGCAGGTACGTCAATCGAAGAGTTTTCGAGAGAAAGAACGTAGAAAGCGTGTTCAAAGAAGCACCTGAGCGAAGTCCTCCTCGAAACGTTGGTGCATCGTCAGCAGCGAGTCCCGGATGGAGCTCCGAACAAAGCCGTTCACAGCCTCGGGGTGCTGGTGTTCTCTCACACATGAGCATGGAGACATGGAGGGAGGCACATGAATCAAAAGAACTACTAGTAGCGTCCTTGCTCCTAATAGCGTTCCTCCAAGATACATCAAATCCCCCGGGCATTTGTTCCACCAAGGCATAGATCATCAAGCGATCGCTCTCTGCAGAGGCTTGGGCATCTCGGAGATCGAGTTGCGCCAGCTGCCGTGCAATGGCCATCGCCACGTCTACACCGCCCTGGCCGTTCCGCAAGACACCTGTAGAGGTGCAGAGTATCAAGCCCTCAAAGGCACTCGCAGTCTCCGTCCTTAAACACAGGAGAGAAAGTAGGAAAGCGCATGCATTTGGAGATACCTGGTTGAACCTTTTCTGCCCATCTCTCTCTCTCTCTCTTGCAAGCCTTCAGACTGTCTTACTTCGTCCATGGCTTCACCTGCTGTGTCCTTGTTTTGTGACGAGATGCGTAGCACGGAGCTGGGTCTGCAAGACCTCGAAGAGGCACCACGCTCGCTGCAAGGGCAAAGCCAGCTCGTCGACGATCATCGAAGTGCCTCTACCACAGACAGGAACTTTGTGTTAGTATGGAGCAATTGCTACCAGCAATATCATGATTCTTTGTGAAGCAGTTTGAGCCTTTTAACATAGCAAAAGCATAGCATTTCAAGGTTGGGAATCAAACCCTCCTTGTCATCTCCCATGCATCGCAGGGTCACAGTGTAACACATCAAAGTGTTAGCATCAGAACGCCTGTCTTACCAGGATTTTGCATATTTTTGGTTGATTGGTAGGATTGATGGCATACCACGGATGAATTTCTTGCACGAGTGTGCAGGCCAAACATAGTCAAAACACAGCCAATCAACTTGTTGGTTTCCCGGTTGTCTACTTCCTGCCTTGGCAACTTGAGCTGGTCAATGCCAAATAGAAGGAGGAGTTCTGCCATTGACCATTCCCCAGCTCTGCCTCCACCGCCCATTGGTTGTTCGCAAAGGTGCAAATCCAATAGGTCACCTCCTGCGGCGGACAATCATGTGCGAGGCAGGGGGTCTACCAAGGGGAATGGGGTCTATATGACAGTCATACAAGATCGTTCAGTTAAAGGAGATAAACATCACTAGTAGGTTGGAGGCCATCACTCTCAGGTTGGAGGCCATCGCTCTTAGGTTGGAGGCCATCGCTCTTAGGTTGGAGGCCATCGCTCTTAGGTTGGAGGCCATCACTCTCAGGTTGGAGGCCATCGCTCTTAGGTTGGAGGCCATCGCTCTTAGGTTGGAGGCCATCGCTACTAGGTTGTGGAGGTCAACGCTACTAGGTTAGAGGCCATGGCTCTTATAGGTTGGAGGCCATGGCTCTTAGGTTGGAGGCCACCGCTCTTAGGTTGGAGGCCATGGCTCTTAGGTTGTAGGGCATCACTACTAGGTTGGAGGCCATGGTTCTTAGGTTGGAGGCCATGGCTCTTAGGTTGGAGGCCATCGCTCTTAGGTTGGAGGCCATCGCCACTAGGTTGGAGGCCATCGCTACTAGGTTGGAGGCCATCGCTAGTAGTTTGGAGGCCATCGCTCTTAGACAAAAAACAAAAAAATGAAGAAAGGCCTAAATAGAACTATGCATCACCGATCTGTAAGATGCAGCAACACTCGGGTAAATAAGTCGTGAGCCCTATTTTGTGGGAACGAGTTCTTCTGTGGCATTCGTTTCGTCAGTCAAAGGTTACCGCTTGAAACAACCGCTTCACACCACTAGGGAAAAAGTTTTTCTTGAAGATTCCCCTTTCCCGTTGAATCCTGCAAGACGCTTATGTCGCCTCACACGGTCGAATTTCCATAGCTGTTCAAGTGGTCATTGGTCGTCCCACACTGGCCACGCGAAATCGACTTCTGAATTTCGACCGGGGCTGATCCACGCAGATATTGTAAGACACGCTAAGAAGAAACACTTTCTTCCTCCTGAAGTATTCAACAAATGCTGTTGGTCGCATCTGACGCGCACAAGTGTCCTGCCAGTGCGCGTAATTTAGAGACATCCCATGCTTTAGGACCTCAGATGTCACACTTTCTCTCACGGTTCAGATCATCGTTGGCTCAGAAGCGGTCCCAGTCAGCGTTGTCAAAAAGAAAACAAAGCTTACAACCTTGGCTGACGGGAAACAGTTTTCAACTTGAATTTGTGGTGCCAATGCCTATTTCCTTCGTCACTCCCTTAACAAAGATCGTTCTTCAGAGTGAGTCTGTCTTGGCTTAAGTACCCCTTTGTTACCGGCACAAAAGCTTTCGGTTGGAATTTGGGGCTGGCTTTGGACCTTTCAGACTTGGACGAGCGGCAGCGAGCAAAAAGGAGAGCCAGTCTTAGGTCTTAAGAGAACCTAAAAACGATGGCCTCCAACCTAAGAGCAATGGCCTCTGAATCTTAGGCGTCTTAGTCTGTCTTTTAGGCACATTTAAGGCTTTAAGATCGTAAGTGTCACACGACCGCACTTGCGTCACCAATCTAAAAGCATCCCTTGTGTCGTGGTACGGATGTCGTACAACATCGGTTCGATTGGTTCGTGGTGACCCTACGAAGATGTACAAAGGTCATGCAAGGGTGCCATACGCTGCCCACAGGCTGAGTGCGTTCTGATATAAGGCTTGCCACCAACCACTTGAAGGAGACTTGGCCAGACTGTGCCTCCGCCTTCCATACTTAAAAGTTGAATAGATGAACCTTTTGAGGCACAGGGCTGCATACGGATGGGTAACAAGAGCCTACTGCGATAACAAGATCCATCAACTCCAAATCTTTTGGTTGAAACTTCCCAGCAGAACCAATAGCGTGACGCATGACATTGCATGAGACATGTCTCTCAGTGTCCGACCGCCTCAGTAAAGTGCTGGAAGGAAGTGCCCCAGAAATGACTGATGAACCACTGCACCTGGTGTGCACCGACCAACTCGGCATAGGACAAGCGAACCTCTTTGGTCAAGGGCTTCACCAGGTTCTCGCAAACATAGTACATGGAGCGATCCTGAAGACCGAAGCATTGACAAAGCCCGCGTGAAGTCTTTGTTTATTTCCATCTTCATTCATCAAGTGATGCAACTAGCCAAATGGCCATTCAACATGTCAGGACGGTGGAACCTGGAAAAAATCGTTCTTCATGATGAACCAGTTGTACCCAAAGAATCCCAAATTGGGGCAACGTCTCACTGAAAGGACATCCATTAGGGATGTCTATGACCTTGCAAACACACAAACACATCCTTGCTCTTGTCTCCCGTGCCGCCTTGATGAAGGATTGGAAAAAGTCGCGGAAGTCTTGAAGCTGTTGGGCTTGCAGTGCTCGTGTGGGCCCGCGCCCGCACGCGGACACATTGGCTCGGAGCTGTAGGAATTGTGCATGCTTCTTGGCCAAGGGGTGGCTGGGTCGAAGATATCTCCAAGCGATGTTTAAGGCTAAACAACTGAGTAGGCTAAGTCCAGTGATGATGAAGATCCCGTCGAAGGTCAAGTAGAAAGCAGATGCAAATGTGCCGCCGGCAAAAAGAAGGAGCCACACCAGAAGTGGAATCTGAAACGCATGCACATGAACGAGTGTACCTGGAAAATTCACGCGCACGTCTCCGATAGATGTCTGTGCGTTGGGATCAACATGGTCGTCGGCAGGGTGGAAAAGGAGCAGCTGATCACTGCCTCACTTTGCAGATCGTCATAACATGTCGCATTTTGCCCAGGATCTCAACTTTAGAACTTTGCCGGACTCCATACATGAACATAGATTCTTGGAGGTATCCTGCTCATCCCTTTGCCCTGCATGTTTTCAACCCAAATTTTATGTCCTGTTGAATCTCAATCGCACCTGACCTGATTGTCATACTGCAAACATGCATGTGATGGGCCTTCGCTACCACAAGTGCAGCTTTCAGGAAAACATCCAAATGGGATTTTCATCCTCTCTTCTTCTTCTCCTTTACTAACAAAGAACATCAAACAACATAGCAACAGGCCAGCCTTGCTATCCCAGTTGCCCCAAGAGCCCACTTCATAGAGCCTTTCGGCCTCGTCAAATTGAGGCGCTCCGGTGTTGGCCATGATGATCTTCGGCCGAAGCTTGCGCCATGCGCGCAAGTGGTGCGCCTGCTGCACGGTCAGGATCATCTGGCCACTCATCGGTGAGATGTCCACGATGGAGAGATGGTAGCGGAACGTGTAGATTAGCAGCTGGAAAAG